GTCGGGGGGCGATTCACAGCATGTTGGGGGGTGATTCGCAGCATGCCGGGGGGGTGATTCGCAGCATGCCGGGGGGGTGATTTGCAGCATGCCGGGGGGGTGATTCGCAGCATGGGGGGGGTGATTCGCAGCATGCCGGGGGGGTGGTGATTCTCAGCATCTGTCCCTATTGTGTATCTATGGACATTACATATATCATATACAGTACATGCAGTATCGGGGGGGTGATTCGCAGCATGTCGGGAGTGATTCTCAGCATGTCTTCTCAGCATGTCGGGGGGCGATTCTCAGCATGCCGGGGGGCGATTCTCAGCATGTTGGGGGGGTGATTCTCAGCATGTCGGGGGGGGGGGGGGGTGATTCTCAGCATGTCGGGGGGGGGGTGATTCTCAGCATGCCGGGGGGGGTGATTCTCAGCATGCCGGGGGGGTGATTCTCAGCATCTGTCCCTATTGTGTAACAATGGACATGACATATATTATCATATACAGTACATGCAGTATCGGTGGATGGTTCTCAGCATGTCGGGGGGTGGTTCTCAGCATGTCAGGGGGTGGTTCTCAGCATGTCGGGGGGGGGCATGTTGGGGGGGTGATACTCAGCATTTCAGGGGGTGATACTCAGCATTTCAGGGGGTGATTCTCAGCATGTCGGGGGGGGGGGGGGGGATTCTCAGCATGTTGGGGGGGTGATTCTCAGCATGTCGGGGGGGATGATTCTCAGCATGTCGGGGGGGGTGATTCTCAGCATGTCGGGGGGGTGATAGTCAGCATGTCGAGGGGTGATACTCAGCATGTCGGGGGGGGGGGGTGATTCTCAGCATGTCGGGGGGGGTGATTCTCAGCATGTCGGGGGGGGGGACCAGTGATTCTCAGCATGTCGGGGGGGGGGGTGATTCTCAGCATGTCGGGGGGGGGGGTGATTCTCAGCATGTCGGGGGGGGGGGGTGATTCTCAGCATCTGTCCCTATTGTGTATCTATGGACATTACATATATTGGCATATACAGTACATGCAGTAATAGGCAACAAGTTCACAGTTCTGCTTTGCTCCCGTCTGGCTGCCTCCACCGAGGTTAGTGCGTTGTAAATACCAGGAGTGGGTCAGCAAAGGAGGAAGAGACCCTGAACACAGCGACCACAGCGTGCGCAATCCTCTGCTATGTCCTTGTCTTATATGGCACATTATACACAGATATCACACAGTAATACTGTATGAAATAATACCACACAATATAATGTCAGGCCCGGATGGGTGATACGGCCACAAAGGCCAAGGCCGGAGTTAGCTGTATTTCCATGGGCTCAGGCTGCTACAAATACAGCCAACTCTAGCTAACTTCATTTCATTTTTATCATTTATCCAAACTCAAGAACAGCGTCCAAAGACATGCTGGTAGGTTAATTGGATCCTGTCTAAGGCTGGCCATACATTATACAATCCTCTTTAGAAAATTGCTTTAGATTTACCAAAAACCATATAATATGAGGTCAAACCTAAACAACACTTTCAATTGTATCCAATTAAGCAGGCCCTTTGTACTACATAGTTGAAGGTAAATCTAAAAGGAAACTGGGCAGACATTGAACAGAAAATTGTATAGTGTATGGCCAGCCTAAGGCTGGCCATACATTATGCAATTTTCTTGAGATTTTTGGTTTAGATTTATAAAAAAAAAAAAAACATATAATAGGAGGTCAAACCTACCAACACTTTCAATTGTATCCAATTAGGCAGGCTCTTGAAATACATAGTTGAAGGTAAATCTGAAGGAAATTGGACAAAAAAAAAAAATTGTATAGTGTAAGGCCAGCCTTATGCAGGCCATAGGATGGGTTGAAAACCGTCCGTTTTTTTTTTTTTTTTTTTTCTTGGTGAAAAATCGATCGTTTAATATGCCGACGTTACCACCAACGGTAAAAAAATTAAAAAAACGGACGATTTTCATCCCATCTACAGCAGGCATTTAATTACTTCTGTCTCTGCAGAGAGCTCCGCTATTATATTTGACATTAAAAAGTATTGCGGTTGAAACAATGTATCTATTTGTATCCATTTCGGATACAAATAGATACAATGTTGCAACCGCAATACTTTTTCATATCAAATATAATAGCGACTGGAATTCTTTTTCTTGCAGGTCACTGGTCATGCGCAGATTTTTTTATCGGTAAAAAGATCGTCCGATTTGCCCATCATTGCCGCGAAAATAGGCCGATTGGCAAAATCGGCTGATTTTTTTTCCAACTTTACCAATTAAAAAAATGTGCCAAAATCCAGAAAAAACGGGCCGACCAATTACCCCATTAATGGTGTGAAAATCAGCCGATTTTTTTTCGGCCAATTTTCGACCCATCTATGGCCTGCATTAGGCTGCTTTCACACTGAGGAGTTTTTCAAGCATTTTTGCATTAAAAAAAGAGCCTGAAAAGCTCAAGAAAACTGCTTCCCTATGTATGTGAATGTATATCTATGTTTGTTTTCACACTGAGGTTTTGCACTTGTGGTGCGGTGTAAAAACTCCTGCTTGCAGCATCTTTGGGACATGTTTGGGAAGTTAAAAAAAAAAAAAAGAAAAGAAAAAAAAAAAGCCCCAAAACGTCTCTTCACATTGAAATCAATGGAAACCGCCTGAAAAGCGCCTTAAAAACGCCATTGAGAAGCATTTTTGGAGCAGTTTTTAAGTCATGTGCCCTTTAAAAACCGCCCAGAAAGTGTGGTAAAAAGGCCTAGGCATTTTTGCTTTTTAAGCAGCGGATCAGTGTGAAGGTAACCTTAGGCTACTTTCACACAGAGGAGTTTTTGCGTGAAAAAAAAAGCGCCTGAAAAGCTCAAGTAAAACGTCTCTCTATGTATGTGAATGTACAGTCAGGTCCATAAATATTGGGACATCGACACAATTCTAACATTTTTGGCTCTATACACCACCACAATGGATTTGAAATAAAACGAACAAGATGTGCTTTAACTGCAGACTGTCAGCTTTAATTTGAGGGTATTTACATCCAAATCAGGTGAACGGTGTAGGAATTACAACAGTTTGCATATGTGCCTCCCACTTCTTAAGGGACCAAAAGTAATGGGACAGAATAATAATCATAAATCAAACTTTCACTTTTTAATACTTGGTTGCAAATCCTTTGCAATCAATTACAGCCTGAAGTCTGGAACGCAAAGACATCACCAGACGCTGGGTTTCATCCCTGGTGATGCTCTGCCAGGCCTCTACTGCAACTGTCTTCAGTTCCTGCTTGTTCTTGGGGCATTTTCCCTTCAGTTTTGTCTTCAGCAAGTGAAATGCATGATCAATCGGATTCAGGTCAGGTGATTGACTTGGCCATTGCATAACATTCCACTTCTTTCCCTTAAAAAACTCTTTGGTTGCTTTTGCAGTATGCTTTGGGTCATTGTCCATCTGCACTGTGAAGCGGCGTCCAATGAGTTCTGAAGCATTTGGCTGAATATGAGCAGATAATATTCCCGAAACACTTCAGAATTCATCCGGCTGCTTTTGTCAGCAGTCACATCATCAATAAATACAAGAGAAGCAGTTCCATTGGCAGCCATACATGCCCACGCCATGACACTACCACCACCATGATCACTGATGAGGTGGTATGTTCAGGATCATGAGCAGTTCCTTTCCTTCTCCATACTCTTCTCTTCCCATCACTCTGGTACAAGTTGATCTTGGTCTCATCTGTCCATAGGATGTTGTTCCAGAACTGTGAAGGCTTTTTTAGATGTCGTTTGGCAAACTCTAATCTGGCCTTCCTGTTTTTGAGGCTCACCAATGGTTTACATCTTGTGGTGAACCCTCTGTATTCACTCTGGTGAAGTCTTCTCTTGATTGTTGACTTTGACACACATACACCTACCTCCTGGAGAGTGTTCTTGATCTGGCCAACTGTTGTGAAGGGTGTTTTCTTCACCAGGGAAAGAATTCTTCGGTCATCCACCACAGTTGTTTTCCGTGGTCTTCCGGGTCTTTTGGTGTTGTTGAGCTCACCGGTGCGTTCCTTCTTTTTAAGAATGTTTCAAACAGTTGTTTTGGCCACGCCTAATGTTTTTGCTATCTCTCTAATGGGTTTGTTTTCTTTTTTTAGCCTAATGATGGCTTGCTTCACTGATGGTGACAGCACTTTGGATCTCATCTTGAGAGTTGACAGCAACAGATTCCAAATGCAAATAGCACACTTGAAATGAACTCTGGACCTTTTATCTGCTCATTGTAATTGGGATAATGAGGGAATAACACACACCTGGCCATGGAACAGCTAAGAAGCCAATTGTCCCATTACTTTTGGTCCCTTAATAAGTGGGAGGCACATATGCAAACTGTTGTAATTCCTACACCGTTCACCTGATTTGGATGTAAATACCCTCAAATTAAAGCTGACAGTCTGCAGTTAAATTACATCTTGTTCGTTTCATTTCAAATCCATTGTGGTGGTGTATAGAGCCAAAAATGTTAGAATTGTGTCGATGTCCCAATATTTATGGACCTGACTGTATATCTATGTTTGTTGCGCTTGCGGTGCGGTGTAAAAAACTCCTGCTTGCAGCATCTTTGGGGCATGTTTGGTGAGTTAAAAGAAAGCCCCAAAAACGCCTCATTGAAATCCCATTGAAGTCAATAGAAAACGCCTAGAAAACACCTGAAAATCGCTTCAAAAACGCCTCTGAGAAGCGTTTTTTTTGGTGCAGTTAAGTCACTTGTCCATTAAAAATGCTCAGAAAGCGCGGCAAAAATTCCTATGCATTTTTGCTGTGTTTTTGTGGCGGACCAGTGTGAAAGTAGTATGTGTATGTATGAATGTGAGTTAGTGACCTTAGATTGTACGCTCCTTGACCCTAGGTTCCAGGGGCGGACTGACCATTTGGAAACTAGGGCACTGCCCGTGGGGCCCGGGGTCAGTAGGGGGCCCCATGAGATGCCGCTGGTACCTTTTTCATAGGCTTTTTTGAGTTTGAGCAAGGACAAAGGAGCCCCATGATCACCTATTGCCCGGGGCCCCATGAGTTGTCAGTCTGCCCCTGCTAAGTTCACACCTAAGCATTTTCTGCAGCGTTTTGCAGAAATGCAGTACAGTCCATTTAACATGATTTCCTATGGGACAGGTTCACATCTCCACGTTTTCACCCGGTGCGTTTTTTGAAAAGGGTTAGGGACTTTTTTTTTTATTTTTTTTTTAATGCAAAACATTGCGTTTTTGGTTCTATAGACTTCAATGGGAACGATGCAAAAAAAAAAAAAAAAAAAACACATCAAAAATGCAAGTGCAAAACGCAACACAAAACGCAATGCAGAAATGCCTCAAACGCAACCTGCGTAGGTGTGAACCTAGGGTGAGGGTTAGGGATTGATGTGAATGTACTATATATATATATAGGGAAAGAATTCTTCGGTATCCACCACAGTATTATAAATATTATAAAGTGCTGCGTAAATTCATGGCGCTATATAAATACCTGTAATAATAATAATAATAACAGAAATGTAATATATTGCAGGTTACCCATCCTCAGATATGGCGTTTGCATTCGTTATCCCCTGATGATCCTGCCAGTAACCTCCTTCATGTGGAAGGCTGACAACGCTCACTCACTGTACCTATGGAGGAGCAGCGTTGTCGCTGTTGTGAAAATAAAGGAAAAAGTCTGAAAAGAAGAAAATGAATGCAGCCACCACATGAAAGGAATGGTAAGCTGCAATTTGGCTTTGCTAGGCAGATTGTAAACGCAAAATGCATAAAAAATGTGGCAAAAACGCAATACACATTTTCTGCAGCATTCCCATTAAAGTCTATAGAACCAAAAACACAACGTATTGTATTCAAAACAGTCTCTGACCCTTTCCAAAAAACGCAGCAGGTGAAAACGCAGAGACGTGAACCTGTCCCATAGGAAACCATGTTAAATGGACTGTACTGGGTTTCTGCAGGAAAGGTGTGAACCTAGGGTACAATGGCGAGGACCCAGTTTCAGTAACACAACGCCTTACCCTACTTTGCAGCACACCACAAAGCAGGCGTGTTGCTTCATAGAAGTGTGAATCCAGCCTAAATATTGCCCAAAGGCTACAAATTCAGTGCAGCCAGTCTGGACAATTTCTGTTGCTACATATAAGATCCAGAAGGGCAGCCATTATTGTAAACAGGAGCTGGGCCAGCACTGCCTCTAATAAATGATACTTCCTACTGACTTTGTACTTTCCCAGAGAAGACATTTCATGTATACAATATATAATATTTGATATCTGACATCTTTACAAAAAAAATGCAGCTCAACAAGCAAGCCGGAGAACCTCAGTGTTGGTGGCGTAGACTATGTCCTGATCAGATGTTCAGCTCATTCTCCGCCTCCCGCGACATCACCCCATCACAAGGTATGACATTAATCTGCAGTAATTACATAGTGATATAGAACAAGACAGGTAATGGCAAATTGTTTGTTTATCCGCGATTACATTTCACAGCAACGCAAAGCGGCATTCGCCTCCATAATCACAGGTAATTAAGGGATAACACCGGAGTGCCGCAGAACGACACAGCGCAGGGCCACAGAAAGTGCTAATCATGAAATGATGGATCAGCGGGGAGGGGGAAACACGGTACAGCCCTGCGGACTTCTGGGTAAAAAACACCAAAAAGCGTACGTGGTGTCACTATAGCGGCAATAAAGTTTGTGCACCTGTGTGTCAGGTCTGTATTAGACACTATGGCCACCTACCTTTCCAAGGCTGCAAAAAAACGTAACAAAGATATTTTACTTTGCTAATGGCATTCCTCTTTTTTTTTTCCCTTTGTTACATCTCAGCGCTGCTGATCTCCTGCACTTTATTTGCAGCCACTTCTTGTCTACTGCACTCTGTGTAATGTACCCAAAGAACCCCCAGTGGGACTTTAATGCAGCAAAGGGATCATATATATATTGAAAAAGACATTTGGTTAGAAAAGATTTTTATCAACTTTGTTACATACACATTTCCATTGTAATGTTAAATACATGATTTCTAAAGAGAGTATTGCTCTGACAGTATTCTTACAAGAAAACTCTTGATACAAAAATATTAAACCACACAGAAATGAGAAATAAATCCAGACGCGTTTTTCTTTCCTTTCTGTGTGGTTTCATATTTTTGTATCAAGAGTTTTCTTGTAAGAATACTGTCAGAGCAATACTCTCTTTAGGAATCATACTTTATATGTTTTTATATGTATTTAACATTACAATGGAAATGTGTATGTAACAAAGTTGATAAAAATCTTTTCTAACCAAATGTCTTTTTCAATATATGTATGATCCCTTTGCTGCATTAAAGTCCCACTGGGGGTTCTTTGGGTACATGCATTCATATAGGGATGGCAGCCAGATACTGGATCCTTTTGGTTATGGTCTACTGCACTCTGAAAGTCACATCTTTAAAAAGAATGAAAATGACTTTGAAATGACATTGATATATTAAAGGGTATATAAATAGCTAGATGTTGGAGACAGTCAACAATTCCGCTAGACTTGGTCAAACAGAAACTTAATTGGATTATGATAAATTATAAACGTACTAGTATTGTTAATAATAATACTTCTAAATTTGAGTTTAGGATTAGGCACAGTTGTGTTCAAAATAATAGCAGTCAGACATCACTAACCTGATCAATCACTGTTTTTGGTAGAAATTATATTTCTACATGGCAAATAATTTACTAGCAGGTGTAGTAGAGTAATAGAAATCCAACAGACCCAACAGTCATGACATGCATGCTGCTGATTCTGTGTGATTGAATCACTAATTGAAAGGGGCATGTTCAGAATAATAGCAGTGTGGAGTTCTATTAGTGAGGTCATTCATTCTTTGAAAAACAGGTGGCAATTATTGCCCTTATTTAAGGAAGGAAGGCAGCAAATGTTGTACATGCTGGTTACAGTGCATTCCTCTCTGAAATTCTGAGGAAAATGGGTTGTTCCAGACATTGTTCAGAAGAACAGCGTACCTTGATTAAAAAGTTGATTGGAGAGGGGAAAACATATAAAGAAGTACAGAAAATGATCGGCTGCTCAGCTAAAATGATCGCAAATGCTTTAAAATGGCAACCAAAACCTGAAAGACGTGGAAGAAAGTGAAAAACTACCATTCGAATGGATAGAAGAATAGCCAAAATGGCAAGGACTCAGCCAACAATCAGCTCCAGGAAGATGAAAGAAGGTGTAAAGTTCCCTGTGAGTACTGTTACAATTAGAAGACGCCTATGTGAAGCCAAGCTATCTGCAAGAAGCCCCCGCAAAGTCCCACTGTTGAAAAAAAGACATGTGCTGAAGAGGTTACAATTTGCCAAAGAGCACATTGACTGGCCTAAAGAGAAATGGCGCAACATTTTGTGGACTGATGAAAGTAAGATTGTTCTTTTTGGGTCTAGTGGCCGGAGACAGTTTGTCAGACGACCCCCAAACACTGAATTCAAGCCACAGTACACTGTGAAGACAGTGAAGCATGGTGGTGCAAGCATCATGATATGGGGATGTTTCTCATACTACGGTGTTGGGCCTATTTATCGCATACCAGGGATCATGGATCAGTTTGAATACATCAGAATACTTGAAGAGGTCATGCTGCCTTATGCTGAAGAGGAAATCCCCTTGAAATGGGGGTTCCAACAAGACAACGACCCCAAACACACCAGTAAACGTGCAACATCTTGGTTCCAGACCAACAAGATGGACGTTATGGAGTGGCCAGCCCAATCCCCGGATCTTAATCCAATACAAAACTTGTGGGGTGACATCAAAAATGCAGTTTCTGAGGCAAAACCAAGAAATAGAGAAGAACTGTGGAATGTCGTCCAATCATCCTGGGCTGGAATACCGGATCACAGGGGCCAGAAGTTGGGTGACTCCATGCAACACAGATGTACAGCAGTTCTCAGAAACAGTGCGACTACAACCAAATATTCATTAAGTGATTCAAAGGAAAGCAAAATCTTCAAACATTTTTCAGTTTATATAGTGAATGTTTGAGTTTGTAAAGAAGAATACAAACACTGCGATTTTTTTGAACAGTCTAATATTCACTTTTCTTCAATTTTTTTTAGGGGAACAACACAAATTTGATATATTTTTCTTCATGTTTTGATTTGGAATAGAATGTGTCGTGTTCCCAATGCATTTGTGTGGATGGAAATAAAAGCTATTAGAAGGATTTTGAGCTTTATTCACTTTTTTCAACACACTGCTATTATTTTGAACACAACTGTATGTCTCTATTATTTAATGGACCTATAGCTGGCCCTCTTCTCTTCTTTCCTTCTTTCTTCTCTCCTTTTTGTTTTTTCTTCCCGATATATTCTTTATCCTCTTCTTCGACTCTTACTATTTATTTTTTCGGTCTCCTTATTTTTGTTAGTTGGTTATATGAAACTGCCCATGCCTACTGATCGATGGAATATTTGCTACCCTACTGGGGTTGTGTTCTATTGTTTACTACATCATTGGTTGATGTATTCTTATGTGCCTATATATTCCATGAATCTGTTTGTTTGCCACAAATCACCATGTAGGTGGGCTATGTTTTCTATTTTTCTGTATACTACTTTTTACAGATTCTCAATACAAATATTGAAATATAAAGGGTATATAAAATGTTAGTGATTGGATTGACATCTACATTCACATTTTTAAGATTAGAAAGTAAAAATATTAAATACGGGATTGTTATAGCGGACATAAAAGCAGTGACAGGCCAGATCCCTACAGTATAGGAAAATACTGCATGGTGTGGTCATAAAAAAACCAAGGATAATATATCCAATTGTAGAATTATAGTGCCAGAGTTAAATAAAAGCCGCATCAGCATAAATATGGGATGTAGAAGGCCCCATTCTGTGGTCATTACATGTGATAGAAGCAGGGGCGGACTGACAACTCATGGGGCCCCCGGGCAATAGGGGATCATGGGGCCCCTGTGTCCTGCCCAAACTCAAAAAAGCCTATGAAAAAGGTACCAGGGGCATCCCATGGGGCCCCCTACTGACCCCGGGCCCACGGCAGTGCCCGAGTTTCCAAATGGTCAGTCCGCCCCTGGATAGAAGCACATCACCGCT